CGACTGAAACTTGTCTATTTCGCCTCACTTTTTCTGCTGATATTGCTCCTGACGTTGTCATTAGAGTCTATTAGATGGCTGAGGTAAATTTAGCTAGCCACCTTATCAACAGGCTTGCTGCACACTCATTTCGCTAAGGAAATATTAGACTCCAGACAGAGGCGCATAATTCCTTCTACAACTGCATAGATCCTGTTTGGAATTCCGCTTCGTCTTTGGAGAAGACGTTGGCGTTGTCTACACAAAGCAGGCGGATGAACCGTACTCCGTCGATGTCCGTCTCGCCCCCTCAGTTCATATGGTCAAAGAACGATTTCAGCTTAGAAGAGGGTAATGAGTCCATTCAAATTCAGTACTCCTCATTCAGTGCTGGTTATACATGGTTCCACGAACAGCTACACAGTAGTCATTTGTCAGACAGTAGTCCGATCGGGCCGACGTAGACACTGATGGTACTGCGGTCGTATAAAGCGTTCACGGTGGCTTTAGCTCCCTTTCCTGCAATGGCGATGAATGCGTAGCAGAGAAGGAAATGGGACTGCTTGGTTGGTTGTTGACCATGGTGGAGAACGGGTTCCTGAAACCGGCTTGTTCTTTATTAACCAGCATCTCTGCGTCTTTCCGAATAAGATGAGGATAATTCAAGCAAAGACTTTCTAGACTGGAGAATGATAGGTATATAGCTCGGGAGGTCTTCAGTATTGCCTTTCTTGGGTAGAAGAATCGTTGAAGAGCCCTTCCATGCTTCAGGCGTCTTCTTCTGTCCCTACCAAAGCATTTGCCATTTTTGATATTCTTGGCTGTTCACCATACCTCGATCGATATGGCATCGGCAACGGCTTCTGTAATAACGTGCAGCAGCTCCCGGTTTATGTCCATCTTTGAAAAGTGGAGGGTATCGTAGGACATGGTGCAGATCGCTTTCCTACGACAGTAATCCGTGGTTCTTGTCCCTCCTTCGTCCTTCAGTACTACTGGAATCCATTTTTAACCTTCAGACAATTTCATCTTTATTCAACCTTTGACAGCTTCATTCTCATGTACTCGAC